TTGAAGAAGGACTACGAACACTTGGGGGTCCATGGAATGAAGTAAAGGAACTCGGTGCAGGGCTTGGAACTGCTGGCTTGATCTGTGGAATTTGTAAGTTGACAGGTTAGGGCAAGCAGAAAGTTCAGAAGTCACTGACGATCTTCCAGATAGACTTCCCTTGAAGACAGCAAAACAGACGGTATTGCTGGGAGGATTGATAGGAGCGGTGGTGAAAGTTTTGAACTCGGCAAAACAGCGGCTTGTGATATTGAAGACGCACGGAGAATAGATACTCCACATAGTGAGAGCTACTCCACAAGCAAATATTGATTAAAATAATCTTGTACATTTACCACCAACATCTCTAACTTTCTTCGATATGCTAAAGTTTTGGCCGACATCACCCGCAGCGATGGACCAGCTTACGCCCAGAGCCGACGTCGAAGGTCATGAACCGAATCCATTTGACAATTTTCCACAATCACCGAGCATTGGAGCTTATCACCCACTGTTAACCCCTACCAGGATCAGCAGTGCTCATTCTCCTTTTATTCCACCTTCAGCATATAAGGAGCTCGATATAACTCCAGGGCCGCACGGACCACAAACGGGCGCCCACGCCTCTTTTGCGGCTTCACTTCCCACTACCAGCTTGTCTCTTCATGCTCCAGATTTCAACATGCAGTTACCACCTCCTCCAGTCAGAGACAAATCCAGTCCGTCTTCAAACAAGTCCTCAGCGACACCGGCATCGTCCGCCAAGGCCTCTCCTTCGAATACGTCTTCCTCAGCTTCGAAAGAGGCCTCAACACCCATTTCTAGAGGCCAGATCCATGTAAAGCTTATCCAGGCTAGAGGACTCAATGTTCGGTCAATGGCTGCCCAACCCTATGTCGTCGTTCAATTCGAACAGAACGAATTTGTATCCCGTAATCCGACCGATGAAACTGACAAGGAAGTCAAGGGCACCGCGACAAACTTATCCTTATCGCGACCGTCGTCATCCAACGCCATGAACGCTTTAGCCGCAGTCGATGCTGCGGCGAAAAGGAGAAACGGCGGGAGCAGCGGTAGCAATGGTAGCAGGGATAACTCTCCCGTATCTAGCGTTGGTTCAAAATCGTCTACTCATAGTGGTGGCCTCTTCGGGAGGCTTTCTGCTCATAATCCAGTGTGGAAACACGAAGTATCATTGTGAGTGTCACTTGTTTTACTCTGCGGATCATAGATCTGACACTCTTCCACAGCGATGTCACTAACTCAGACTCTCTAATTACTTTCAACGTCTACGACCGTGCCGTGGAAGACCAGGGTTTCCTAGGTACACTTCAGATCAAACCGATCCTGGTTCACGATCATACTGTTGACCAGTGGTACAAGTGAGTTCCCATCCATCCCAAAGATCCCGCATTTTTTTCCCTCCTACCGAATATCCCTCTTCCGTTCCCACTGGGATTAGCGTGCAACACAGCCGATGTACATTCCCGGATCTTGAAAATTCCCTCGTCATTCGATCTTTTTTCCTCATTATCTCTTAGCTGGCACCTTCTTCCCGATATAATTCTTGAAATGGTTTGCTGACTGATAGATTGTACTAGACTCAAACCATACGAAATTGATAACAATGAACCTGTCACTGGAGAAATGCGCGTGCAGATTACGTTTGAGCAGTATAAGGTGGGTATAATTCGATGTTCATCTTTTTTTCAATTTTTCGATGTGTTTTGATTTTTGTTCCGTTCCCGTGGTCCTACTTTGTATCCGCCCTTCATTATTATTTTTTTTTTTTTTGATTTTACGGCATACCGGTGGAAGTAACATCGCACTCGATTTTCGTTGTGTATCCTGTCCGGGCAATGGCGTTCAAGATCTCTGTCACGATAGCAGCGGATAGCTGGACGGACCTTGCCAGTGTATACAGCTGGTATATAGATCATCGCAGCCTCCGTTATCGTCGCTCACAAAGGGAGGCACCCCTGATTCGAATTCCCCAACTCTCACGAGTTTTTACAACTCGTATCCCCATTATATCTTTGGGGATTCGGATTTCAGGATGCAAGAAACTCAACACAAACATCTCGGTCGCGGCCGCAAATTTCGTATCTCCGACGGCTTTCTTCCAACGTTGGTGGTGATAAACTGACCAACTTGGACGAACGAAAGCTATGCGCAGTACAATCAATGTCTATTACCCCGCATTGCTGCCCCATATACATCGGAATGCGAAGCACAGGAATCAATATCCTTAGCTATCTCATTCATAACCCCGCGTTCTCTAATTTTCGTTGTCAGGCGTCATTTTGTTCAATAGAATTTATCCCGACGCTACCCCTGGTAAACTTCCTATGTGGAGGCCGTCCGACTCGAACAAGCTATTGGGATTGACAGAGATTCGTCGGCATTACCTGCAGAATATCGAAACCACACTGCTGTCCTCCGTTGTACCAGGTCAGAGAGGCTAAACCCAGATACACGGAATATTGTCAATGGTGTCAAAGAAGGATTTGATGGCGTAAAACATGCGTCGATGTCAGAGGGCATTAGCCCTCGTTGATGACGCTTGAAACACCATCATCAGGTTCTTCACTTGGACAGCTTTTAACATTTGATCCTCTCTTCATGATTTTTTTTCTTTCGCTTGATTGTTGTTTTACAACATTTCACTGACTATTTCCCTTCTTCTAATTTATGCTCACGCCAACCTTCCATGACAACTGTGGAATCATCTGCGTTTGCGTCCCGGGGTTTCGCTGGTCCTTGCTCATCTGCGCCGTCTTTCCCATGTGTCCTGTATCTTGGAAACCCCTCCGACGGCTCACAACATCATTCCTCGAAATCGTTCTCCCGTCCTCAACTGCTCAACGCTCTGTACTCCCTCCAGACGAAACGTGCCCTAACTCCACGCGATTTTGAGTTCCTCAAGCTAATAGGCAGGGGTACATTCGGCAAGGTGTTCCAAGTGCGAAAACGCGACACCAAACGAATTTATGCCATGAAAGTCCTTTCTAAAAAGGAGATCGTGGCGAAAAAGGAAGTCGCACATACAATTGGAGAACGTCAGATTCTCCAAAGGTCATTAGAGTCGCCATTCCTCGTCGGTCTGAAGTTCAGCTTCCAGACAGAGCATGACCTATACTTGGTCACGGACTTCAAGAGCGGTGGAGAGTTGTTCTGGCACCTGCAGAGAGAGACGAGGTTCACAGAGGAACGAGCAAGGTTTTACATTGCCGAGTTAATTCTGGCGCTAGAACATCTACACAAATACAACATTGTGTATCGAGATTTGAAGCCCGAGAATATTCTTCTCGATGCAACAGGTCACGTGGCACTTTGCGATTTTGGCTTATCGAAAGCCAATCTACGTGCGGACGAGTTGACAACGACTTTCTGTGGCACAACAGAGTACCTCGCACCCGAGATACTCTTAGACGAGCACGGATATTCGAAGATTGTGGACTTTTGGAGCTTGGGAGTTCTTTTGTTTGAGATGTGCTGTGGATGGAGTCCTTTTTATGCTGAGGATACGCAGCAAATGTATAAGAACATATGTTTCGGGAAGATTAGGTTTCCCAAGGGTGTTATAAATGAGGATGGGAAGCAGTTTGTCAAGGGAGTAAGTAACTGGTGTTTTTTTTCTTGTATCGTATCTTTACTAATGATTATTGATTGGTCCAGCTCCTAAACAGAAATCCCAACCACCGTTTAGGTGCTGTTCGCGACGCTGCAGAACTCAAAGAGCATGCATTCTTCAAATCAATTGACTTTGAGCTTCTTGCACAGAAGAAGGTCACTCCTCCCTTCAAGCCTGTTGTCGAATCAGACGAGTCCACATCGAACTTTGACCCTGAGTTCACAGAGAAGAGCATAGCTGACGTCGGTCTCAACGAGGATGATTATGCCGACTTTGCTGAGGACGATCCCTCGGAAATCTGGGTTTCCCAGAGCTTAGGTGCCAGTAGCTTCCTTCCTGGAGGACATATGCACAACGGGCCTCTTGGAAGTGAGAAGACAGGGAAGACGCCGCCAATGACACCTTTATCTCCTATGACAACCATGACATTACCAAATGGGACCGCAAATGGCACACACAAGACAGCGAAACACAAATCCTCTAGGAGTGGTGGCGGTTTATCGCGGAATGGAAGTGGCGCTTCGACAAAGTCTAATCGGTCGTCGAAGTCGTCGCTGCACCGGGTCGCGAATGGGATCGATATCAATGCCAATGGAAAGCAGCCGAAGAGACAGCGTCAACCTGCTGGCACACCCCTGACTAATAGCGTCCAGGAAAATTTCCGCGGGTTCACATATAGCGGTGGGGAGTCGGTGGTGTCGCATGCGGATGCTTTCGCAACGCGGAAGATCCAGAACGACGATAATGACGAGGATTATGTGGATGTTGATGAGGAATTTGAAGGGGGGACAGAGGATGAGTTTGAAGATTTTGGGAAGAGTGCAGGGAGATACGCCAATATGAGAAAGAAGGGGATGGGATTTACGGATCTGGATGATATGAGTTGATGCTCATCGTTCGAACGATCTGCAATCAAACGTAGATGGGAATGGGGCTGTACCTTAAGCCTATGGCGTGTTAATTGGGTCTTGCTAATGATCCCTTGGGTTTAAATCTATTGGTAAATCGTTTCATTTAAATCGTTGTACTTGGACGTTTGGAAGGTTGTCTGTTGCATCATATTTCTTCTTTATGGTATCAACATTGTCTTATAGACCCTCCTCTTGAGGTTCGTGTGCTTTCAGTTTTATTTTCTCCTTTTGCAGACATTGCTTTCCTTCATGATATATTCACCACAACTTTCTTGCTGAATTGACGCAGGCAACCTCTTCAACCATAGTATTTAATTTGTCTTCACAGAAATCACCAATTGTACAATCAGTAACAGAAACTATTGCAATAAATGCTTCGAACAAAAACACATAATGGGAAGAAATATAAATTACGAAGAGAAAAAGAGAATCAACCAACTTGTTCAATTGAAAAAGTTAAGGGAGTACATGAAAAATTCCGACACGGGGAATCGAACCCCGGGCTATCGCGCACTCCAGAAATGAGAGGCGATAATGTTAGCCACTACACCATATCGGATGTACGTCGAGAGGCAGTGGTAAAAGATATGAATTGGGACACTTGTATGTATAAACAACCTTGGTACACAAAATGTCCCAGTACAAGAATACGATAGGTAGTATATTTAATCAATTTCCTGGTGACCTCGACCGACTATCTCTGATATCATCCCGACTGCCTTTACTTCGACTCCTGCTTCGACTGTATCTAGAATACGACGAATATGACTTTGACCTGGATCGCGACTTTGACCGGGACCTTGAACGAGAGTACGAGCGGGATCTGCTGGACCGCACGGAGTAACTTCTCGACCTACTCCTAGATCTCGAACGAGAAATCGACCGACCCCTACGTCCATATCCACCTCTTGAGTAGCTTGGAGACCTTCTCCTAGGACCTAACCCGCCCCTCCTTATAGGTGAACGAGAACGAGACATTCCGCCTATACGTCCTCTGCGCGGCGGAGGTCCTCCACGTCCACGACGACCAAATTCTCTTCCCCTGAATGCCGGACCATCGCCCTTGCGACGGTATCGACTTGGAGGCGTCCTAGAACGCGAATTCGAACGTGAACGGGAGTAAGACCTATTTCTGGCCCTGTCGCGCCCATTCCGGCGAGGTGGAGGTCGAGGAGAACGAGACCTGGACGAACGGGAACGAGGAGAGCGAGAACGGACAGGTAGATCAGATAGCTCGACTTTGAGTACTGCTCCATCGAGCTGTCCGCCATTCATATGGGAAGCAGCGATATGTGCTTCCGTAGGCAGGGAGAATTCGAGTGCTGCTTTGCCTCGATTTTGACCAGCTGAAAACAAGGAACATTATAAGCATTGCTAGCTTACAAGAAGGACAGTGATATTACTCACATTTGGTGAAGAGTGGTAGATCAAGTTTTACAATTTGGCCGTAAAAACCAAATACAGTCCGAAGATGCGACTCGACAACGTTTCGTGTCAGATTATTGATTATGACAACTTTGGCGTCCGGCAGCTCAATGTCCTTTCCATTGTCCATGTCAACATCTGCGGTGGTGTTTTGGAGCGGACGGGGGGAAGTTGAACGACCTCTTTCGGACATTGTACGAAATGGTTTGTTGAAGAAAACAACTACATAAATATGTCACACAACCGTGACTGCTGTCACTATCTCAAGCGCGCGCTTGCGTTGGTCATTTTACACATTCAAGACATTCAACTATGTAAATACACCTTTGATTCTCGACAAAGCCCACGGGCTACCAGCAGCATAGAAGTCCATTGGATAATGCGCGTCTTCAGGGTCTCCCATATTTTTCTTACTATTCATTCCTTCCGCTCCTTCTAACATGCTAGCTTCCGCGCCAGTACCAAACCACTCTGTATTCTTCCCCGAGCCCATCACTACAGCGCATTCATACGGGCTAAGCAGCGGGCGCTCAAACGCGTACCCCCAATCAATGGACAGTCGGGGACAGGAAGTTTGGATAAAGGTGGATATTCGAGGATGCGGCACAGATCGTAGTTTAGAGTACTGTTGTACTTCGTGCGAAGAAGACTTTTCGGAGGCGAAGGAAGATAATTGTCGACCAGCGTTGAAGAGTGCTAATTTGGCAGGTGAGAGTTCAGAGAGAAGGATAGGCATATAGGGGATAGGTGTATGGGACTCTCGTAGTTGGTTCGTTATCGCCTGGTTATCATTGCGTGTCAGCGAAACACGATGAACAGGATACTAAGAGGATTTACCTGTAATTGTTTGAAACTTCCTTGCCTCCCAAGCGTACCGAGTATCACGCCCCAGAGAGGTGAATTTGACTCCTCGTTCTCAGTTGGCGGAAGATCCATCGTTTTTACTGTCGTAGACAACCCAGCAGCTTCTATCCATCCGATGCTTTTCTTTGCACCCTCGATAGCATCTCTCCTCACTGACCTCATCTCCTTGTGGCCGTAACGCTCACGAGTGAGTTTTTTTGAATAAGGATCATATCTGAAAGCGGGTACGGATGGATTGGCTATCATTATAGCTTCCAGGTGAAAGCGTCCATCGCCGAGATAACTGTATGTGATTTAGGGTAGATGCATTAACGAGAGGGAAGTGATCATCTTACACGATAGCATCGACCTCCTCATTTAGCCTTGGTGCGGTACATCCAAGGATTTCGCCGGGTGATAAAGGCTTGGATCGAGCAATGCTTGCCTCGTAAGCAGAGGTCCATAACGGAGTAGCAGAGGTTGAGGAAGCAGGAGTATAAGCGACGCTCAAGTCTTCCTTCAGGCGTTGTAAAGCAGCGACGAACTGGATTGTCGACACTAATGCCAGCCTAGTCGGATTCGAATTCTCCTTCCGGTCAGAAAGTACCTCCACTACTTTATCGTCTTTTTCTCCTCCAGGCTCAGGCAGGGGAGCTTCTATTCTCAGTCCAGGACCGGCAACCGGTATCCTCTCCCCAGCTTTGACCTCTTGTTCACCTCCTTCACCCATTCCGACTGACATGAGAGCATCGCGAAAGACATCGCGATCGCTAGACAAGTTGGCACGGATTGTCTGATGTACGTGGATTGAGTCGATACCAATCTCGACAAAGACATACAATGTTTTGATATCCTGCGTGAAATTCGACGGTACAAGGCAGGAGTGTCCGTAGTGAACCAGCATATCGCAACCTAAAGCAAGTGCAGTATAATCATCCACACAGCAAGCTCCGTAGGTTACATCCCCCATTATCGTTGTCAGTGCTGTTGTAAATCTACATGAGTTCCAGTGATCAATAATCTTGAATTGTCAAACAAAATACTTACTTCTCGATAATATCAGCGATTGCACATGCAAACATTTGCAATCCTTCAGGCATCTGCAAAGCTACCATCTTGCCACCGTTCTTCCGCACATGATGTATCGTTTTGTGGATCTCGAAGCTATAGTTTATTGGTAGTACCTGCTCGATAATCGCGTTCAGCTCGGGATTTTCATAGATCTCTGCTGGGATTTGATTTCGGAGTAGGACGTTAGAAATATCGGAAGAGGAAGTTGGTTTGGAGGATTTCGACCCAACGAAGCGACGGCGAGGTTTGCTGGCATCTTTTTTGGCGAGGGATTGTTCGGACATGGAGTTGGTTGTTAATGTAGTTGACCGTTTGTGTAAACATTTTTTGATAAATATTTTGTTACAAAGATAATTGAGAGCATCGTAATCATCCGATATGGTGTAGTGGCTAACATTATCGCCTCTCATATAAATATATGTACGCGATAGCCCGGGGTTCGATTCCCCGTGTCGGAATAGTTGAGCTAGTTTGATTATTTTGCTGAAATTGTGTTCATTACTCTGAGGAATATATGGAGCACTATATACAGCATATCGGTAGACATGTATCGAAGAATTGGGAGGATATGTTATGTATTCTCGTGATATATAGTTCAAAGGTCCAATAGTCAAGTAGACAGGTAGATTTAGGTATGTATGTTGCTAGGGTTCGACACAGAATGTCCAAAGTACATAGCAGCAGGTGCGATATCGCGTTCGCAGTGGTGGAAAGAATACCATGGTTTGAAACTGCCGGTTAGGTATGAACATCGGCTGTAGTTCCGTCACCTTTTTCTGGTGCGAGGGAGTCGTATATCGGACACAAGTCTTTCCATGCACCTGGAATTTCAGAAGTCAGTAACAACATAGGATAGTAGTAAGTATCAAAAGTAACGACAAGCACGCACCGGGAATGACTTCAGAGTTCATATCTGCGACATCTTCAGCAAGCACAACGGCAAATCCCCTGGAGCAGGTCAGAAAATGCAGTAACAGAGGCGAAGATACTAACTCATTGAGATGCCAGTCAACATGGCTAGTGAATGCAACAATCAAAAAAGTCAGTTACGATGACTACATAGGACAGGTATAACCGCCTTGTCAATGGCACCTCACCAGTGCAAAAACCAAGGTCCAGAATTATCAGTCACAAACCGAATCGTCACATTGTCCTCAACAGCGCCAGTGGATACGACGTCTCTCCGAACTGGGTCTACGTAGTTGTATTCGTAGCTACCTGCAGAGCGAATGACGGAAAAAGAGTGGCCATGTAGATGGAAAGGGTGCTATGCACACAACATTAAAGAAACGATGAGGTTATAGAACGAGAAAATACTCACCGGTCCTGTGACAGCTGTTGTTCCTGGTGAGAATGTTAGTTGGATTGACTTGTTCAGTGGCAGAGGGTATAGAGAGCCTTTGGGAATGAGGTCGGCTGTGATAAAAAGATTTCAAGACATGCAAAAATTATCGAGCTGACATTTTGACACAACTTACCAGCAGACTGAGCACCACTCAAAATTTGCAGCAGGACTGGTATAGTCGGAGAATACCAGGATTTACCATTGATTGTAAAATCGCCTGTGACGGCGTCCTACATGAGGATGAGATAATTGGAATTCGTAGGATTGACCACGACTTACGGTGTCGAAGAGCATATTGATGTTGACGTCTGCACCGTCAACGTGAGGTTCACCAGGCTGTATTGAGTAGTTTGAGCACAGAAAAACATGTATCCTGCACGCCACTTACTGCAGCAGGATTTACAAGTGCCTAGTGGAACCAACATTCAGAACAAGACGTACCCACTCGTTGAGCAAAAACATACATGAAGATCGATCTCTTGCAAGTGATAAGAATCCTTCGCTAGTTCCTTATAATAATCTGGATCGGATTCCGACGCGCCATTATATCTTAGGATAGCCATGTTGATACCACCATCAAACCCGCTGTTTCCAGTGCTAGGATTAGCACGAATAGCATAGTTGTTGACAGGTTGAGTGGCGCTGACGATGACTGAGTAGCGTTGACCGGCGAAGACAGTGACGGAGGAAACAGTATGTGGTCGAGTGTACTCGCCATCAGTTTCGATCACCTAAGGTATTGTGGTTGATGAATACGGACAAACAGATCAGAGGAGACCCACAGTCATATCATGTTCATCGATAGATAAGTTAAAAGATGGTTGGCACGACATTGCGATGACCCGAAAGCGGTATCTGCGAGAGAGGTAATGGGA